TGTTCAATCGTCGGCGACACAACCAATTTGTCTCTATACTAGGTAGAGTCATTTGACACGACCTTGCCTCTACTTGAGGTCAAGGTCTCTCAATGCAATGTTGCATCTCATTATCTCATCGTACATAATTCATGCAAAATAAACATACATGTTCAATAGGGCGATAACTTCCATCATGCTCTCGGAGCACAGAGCTCACAAATTCTCATTCTCATTTCCGCATGAATTAAACACATACATATATAGCGGAAGGTTAAAGCATAATTACAAAACTCAGATAATTTTCATAATGCTTCATGATAACCATATATCATAAATTCGTTTCATGCGAAAGCTAATCTATACACTAGCATGCATGCAACAAAGCTAATCCTATAAGCGTTCCTTCCTAATTTTAGACTTATGTGATTGACGCGTTCACTTTCGCTTATGCCTCATCTTATCTTTCATGTCCACTCTATGTGGTGTGTTAGATGATGCATCGTCCTCTTTAGTCGTATCATGACACTGTTCTAGGTTCTCGTGTGGTCGGATGGACGCCACTTGAGGGTTATCGCTTTGCTTGTAGCAACGTAAAGGTCACAATCTATTCTCTTCATAGTAAAGTTGTAACATTGTGCAGTCATAGAGCGGGTCATCCGAACCATTAATCTGTCTTCCTGTTTGAATTTTTTATATCTTGTTTTGTAGTTGTATCTCAAACTCATTTTCCTATTTGTAATCCATTTATTATTCAATCTTAATTCAATTTTACCGTATTTTTTCTTAATTTCAAACACCAAAAAGGGAGCCCAAAACAATCAAATCAAGCCGAATACGCCTAGGAAAACAGTTAGACCCCAAATCCCAAGTTGAGCCGAAGTTAGAGATCTTGTGCGCCAAAAGCGGAATAAATGTACTCACAACACCAATGAACGGAATTACACAAAGAGACCCAAGACATTTACGTGGTTCGGAGAGAAAAAGTTCTCCTACGGGTAGCAACCAATCACTAATAATCAAAGTGTTACAACTGAATACCTCACTATCACACTGCAAAGACTCTCACCAATATACTCAAGAAATACAATGTGACACACAAAACTCTCTCAAACTTTAATATCAAATTCCGATATCAACAACTTTCTAGACACACACTTTATATAGGGATAATTTAGGTAGAATATTAATAAAAAAAACACTTCCATGATTTATAACCAAAATAAATAAGATATTAATTAAAATGGTTATAAATTAAACCACCAAATTAATATTCTTATTTAATAAAAAAAAATAGTTATATTTTGAATGAATTTAATTACTAAATTAAATAAAAAACTTACGACAATTTACAACAAGAGGGTGTGGATCACGACTAGGTAGACGGGCCAATCAGGGTAAGGGGAGCGTGTGTCGAAGTCAGGTGTAAGGCGCGAGTCTTCGAGTAGGATTATGGGTCAGTTTGTGGATTGGTCATGGGTCAGTTACTAGATCAAATCGTGTATTGGGTCATTTTAGTACTGGATTAGGTCGTGGATCAGGCCCTTCGGGGACGATGTGTGGATAGTGGGTTGGGCGTTGGATGAGTGAAGATGGGTTGTTGGGTTTTGTTCATATTGCTTATGTATGAAATTGATATGGGTCTAGTAAGTTCTATGGGTACGAAAGTCGTACACCTAAAACTATGTACGAAATTGATACAAAACTTGAAATGAAAGCATACTTTTGTACATGTATGCATTTTTTTGATCCCGACAATAGAATCACTTATTGATCATTTTGAATATCTAAACTATGTTTATGTTAGATGAACACGACATTCCACAATAGTATCATATTATTCACTTTGAACATAGGCTCTCATGGCTTTGCTTTGGGCTTTCTAAAAGACCTTAAGCAACGTAACCATGAAGTGATCTAAAGAAATATGATCAATATTATATAGAAAAAGAGATATTACCACTAAAAAGGAAGAAAACCCTAACTTCATGTTGCAAACCCTAACGGATGATAATGTTGATAATGTGTGAATTATTTCTTTTGATTACTAGTGTGTATATATAGCGAAGAAGGAATCATTTAATATCTAAAAAAAATTGGTGTGAGATACCACACATCGATTAGAGAGAGGAGCCTCTCTTTGGTAGATGACGTTTTAAAATCACGAGACTAACAACGATACGTAATGAGCTAAATTGAACAATATCTACTAGTGGTGGGTTTGGGCTGTTACAAAGGGTATCAGAGTTAAACACCTGGGTATGTGCCAACAAGAACGCTGACCTCCAAGATGGTAGATTGTGAGATCTCACATTGGTTGGAGAGGGGAACGAAACATTTCTTATAACAGTGTGAAAACCTCTCTCTAGTAGATGCGTTTTAAAACTGTGAGGTTGACGACAATACGTAATGGGTTAAAGTGGACAATATCTGCTAGCGGTGGGTTTGGGCTGTTACAAATGGTATCAGAGTCAGACACCGAGTAATGTGCCAGTGACGATTGTGAGATCTTAGATAGGTTGAGGAGAGGAACAAAACATTTCTTATAAGGGTGTAGAAACTTCTCTCCGATAGACGCATTTTAAAACCGTGAGGTTGACGATAATACGTAACGAGCCAAAGCAGATAATATATGCTAGCCGTGGATTCGAATGGTTACATTTGGTGTGTTGGTAGATGTATAGATATTAGAATAGTTGAAGGTTTGGTTTTTATTATTAATAGCTGTTTCCTTTTGGAATCTATTATTCAAGATAAGAAAATTTGATAGTAACAGCCACAATTTCCATTCAAAGAAACCTGATCAAGGCTTGTAACGGCACAATTTCTCTAAATCTTATCTTGTAACGTAAAGTATTCAAATAGCACATAAAAAAAAAGATGTTTGGAAATAATTTCTCTTTGCTTTTCAAAATATATATATTTTCTAGGGTTTACATCGTCTAGGTTGGATTGGGTTGAAGGATTTTTTTTTTATGAAACCTAAAAGTTCGAATCGGTTGGATTGATAACCAACCCAACCTGAAAATTTTCAGGTTGGGTTCGGGTTGGGTTGCGAGTTGTCCAAAAAAAAAAATTAAGTTTTATTTATCAAGAATTTATAATTATTCAAATACAATTGAACTAAAATATATTAAAAGTTCACCTACAAACTGAACAAACACAAATCAATATATAATTATTCACAAAAAAAGAAATCAATAAAAAACAACGAGCGCAAATGATAACATATTAACATAGTTCAACATTGTCATAAAACTACAACGAGCGAAAATGATAACATATTAACATAGTTCAACATTATCATAAAACTAAAAACAGCTAAATACGAAGTTTGTTGAGAATTGGTTAAACTAAAAAAAATATTAGAAAAATATACTAAATATACACCAGAATTGGTCAACATTATTATAAAACTAAAACTAAAGACAGCAGCTAAATTCCAGAGAATTTGTTAAAGTAAGAAAAATATACCAAATATACCCAAGACCAAGAAAAATATACCAAATATACCCCAGACCACGTTTCTTGAGAATTGGTTAAAATAAGAAAAATATTAGAAAAATATACCAAATATACCCAAGAATTGATCAACATTGTCATAAAAAAATATACCAAATATACCCAAAACCACGTTTCTTGAGAATGGGCCAAAGTAAGAAAAATATTAGATTGTCATAAAAAAAAAATATACCAAATATACCCAAGACCACGTTTCTCGAGAATTAGCTAAAGTAAGAAAAATATTAGAAAAATATATCCAAGAATTGGCCAACATTGTCATAAAACTAAAGACAGCTAAATACCACTTGAGAATTTGTTAAAAGTAAGAAAAAATATACCAAATATACCCAAGAATTGGTTAAAGTAAGAAAAAATATACGAAATGTCTTTAGAATTTGTTAGAGTAAGAAAAATAAAAGGATAGATCACGAAATTAAACAAAAAAACATACCCACGTTTCAAGAAAAATATACCAAATATACCCACGTTTCTTGAGAATGGGTTAAAATAAGAAAAATTTAAGGATAAATCACGAAATTAAATAAAAAAATATACCCACTTTTCTAGAGAATAAAAAAAATACAAAAAAGATCACGGAATTAAATAAATAATAAAAATGATTAGTTTAAAGGGATTGTATATAACAAAAATAAAAATACTATAAATTATTTTAATTACAATATGCTTCATTATTCGTGACCGACCTTAGTAAAGTTAGAGAACTCGAGACTATTAAAAAATAAAAAAATATATAAATTATTCTTATTTTAATTCATATATTTTATTTGGCTCGGGTCAACTCGAATGTTTTATCTCACGAACCCAAAACTGAATCGATTTAGTTTGGGTTCAGAAAAATGAACCCAACCCTACTCGAAATGTTAATCCAACCCTTATAGTTGAGGTTGAGTTGGTCCGAGTTGTCGGGTTGAATGTACACCCCTAATATTTTTCACCAAGAGAAAGATATTTGGATGTGAGCATGAAGGAAAAACCATTCTATTCTCTATTTATGCTACTAATGTTGCAATGGTTTGAACGATCCATAAACCCTACCCGAAGACCCGCATCGTCTACCTGATCGTGATTCGCGCCCCTCTCTAACTTCAACCCAGTTTGGACGTTCCTTATTGCATTCAACTTGATTTGATTGTTTTGGGTCATTTCCTAAAATTTTAGACCATCCCTAAGTCGATTTAGACATTAATGAAAGCGTTTGAATTTAATATGACGATCACTGTCGTTTTTAATTATTTTTTTAGTCAAAAGTAGATTTAATTAATACCCCTAGATGAATTAAGTCGTTTACTATACCTTAACTCGATGTCATGGATACACGTACTTTGGATTGAATATGGTACAAAAAAAAAATAATTAATGACTCTAGCATGGGCCAATGACTCTAGCTTGGGCCCATTCAGTTGAGGTTTAAGAGCGAGCCCATGGGCCATAATTAAGATTAAGGAGGCCCAATATAGCATCTGGCACGGCAACACGTGTGAAGAAGCTATGGAGAGGGAAGAAAAAGTCTGGTAAACGTGGGTTCCTTGATCAGCGACGGAGAATACACAGCGTTGTCTCCGCTGCAAGACACCAATCTCGGGACACAGCTTAGACCAATTCCCTTGTCCTTCACTCCTTGCCCTATCGGCTTGTTGAGAGAGAGAATCCTCAACTATGATCTGCATATATACCTCGAATGACAACCCCTCCTTCCCTCCTGTCCCTCACAATCCATTCCGCCATCCATAATCTCTCTCGCATCTCCGATCTCTCCTTTCTCCCTGATCACGTCGTCCTTGATCTTTTCCTGGTAATCTCTCTCTCTCTCTCTCTCTGATTTTACAGATATGGTATAATTCATCGTCGTCTTGTTTTGGATTTGAGTGCGTATTTGTAAATTTCCCACTTACCCTTCAGTTTGATGCTTTTTTTTCTTCTGGGTTCTTCTATTTTTGAATCTTGGGTTGTGTTTGATCGTGGTGATTGTTTAATTTGGGAGTTGGGGTTTGTTGATTGTTTATTACGATTGGTCAACGCTATCTACAATCTTGTTTTTTATCAAGATTATGATTTCTGGTCTAAAATTGGTAGGAGAAAGGTTGTGTGGGTGGAGGGTGGAGTTTTGTTTTGTAGAAATGTCATTGGATGTTTAGATGATTATGTTTTTACATTTCTTTGTGATTATATGAACGCTTGAGCTATCTTATCCGTCATGGAATGTTGCGACACTTGTAATATTTTGATCCTCTCCATAATTTATATCCTTTTTTCTTGCCAGAATGTGAAGATTCTAGCCTACTTCTGCTATTTTGTTTATTGTATTCGGTTATTTGTTTGCTTCTCATTAAACAAATGAAAAAGTTATTTGGGAAACAAAGTTGTAACTTGTATGTACAAGCTTTGAATGAGCTTTGTACTTAATGGATCTATATGTCATTTTATGATTTTGATTTGTGCTGAATTCTTGCCTTCCTATCTAAGTTTTAGATTTTAGGTAATGTACGCTTGCTAAACTCGGATTGGTTCTCGTCCCGGTCGGATTAACTCTGGTTATATGTGAATGTTTTTCTGTTGTATTTCATTCTACACTTTCAAACTAGAAGAAGAATTTGTTGGTTTAGTTGTGAAATTGGCGTTTGGAAATTTTGGTGTTTAGTTGTGCAAACTAGAAGGAAGAAATGACTGGAAGTTAAACTCAGGCTTAGGCTAGTGAGGATCGAAAAATTTCTCCAACCAGCGAAACAAATAGAAGGAGACAGCTGCAAAGCTGTTAGGTATACTAGGCTGCAGAATATATGGAGAACGTCGTCTTGTTTGGCTTTTATACCTCCTCAACGTTACTCCTACTATCCGAAAAATGCTATCCTATTTCTAGTGTTAAATTTCTCAAAACGTTAGAACAAATTGTTGTAAGCCCTTTGTCTTGGTTTTCTCATTGGATGGAAGGAAATTGATAATTGAGGGGGAGGAATTCTCCGAAAGAGGGCGTAATATGGCGTAATATGAAAAGCCCTCAGATTTTCTTAAATAGTTCTTGTGACTGCTTTCAGCCAGCCTTATTACATATGAAACTCTTAAGACTGTTCTTTTTAATGTATCATTGGTTTATTAAGTCCTTTTCTTTAGCTGTCATCTGTATGAAATATGGAAGAAATGATCTGTACGCAATAATGATTGCGTGTGGAAATGATGGCCAAATGATTGGAAGTGATACCCCATTGGTTCCTGTGGTTGGGACTTTGAATGTGTAATGCAGCAAATGATCCTTAATGTTATATTAGAGCAATACAGAACTGACATTTTTGCTTCACTGTTAGATAACTTTTTTATGTATATTTTCTGTTGAGCCTTCTTACTGACAAGTACTTGCGAGTTACTGAGGAGATGATATACTTTCATGAAGCAGGAAACATTAAGGGCTGGAAAGTTAAACGAGAGGGTTTTAAAGTTGTTCGTGGCAACTGGAAAAGATGAAGTTCTTTCGCTCATCGAGGCATTCAATATCCAGCAAATTGTCACCCCTGTTCTTCCTACCAGTAAGAAAAATCTAGATATTACCGATGTTCTGTTGCTCGATTTTGTGATCGGTTTATCCGTTTATCTTCCTTACACTAAGTACTTGATGCAGGGTGTTCAGAAAAATTCTAGGATTCAGTGATAAAACTTCTGCTGCTTCTTTTAAGGAGACTTGACAATCTTTTCTTATCTTTTTTTTTTTTATTTATAATCACAAATCATTGTTTTTATTTTCTTGAGAAGTTTTAAAGATGTCCCAGCTTAATATTATGGATAGCGAGGTCGACATTGTGGTCGGAGCGCTCCACTCTGATCTGACTTCATTTATGAATGAATGGAAGCCTATTTTCTCCCAATACCACTTGATTATTGTCAAGGATCCTGAACTCAAAGAGGACCTCATAATTCCAGATGGCTTTGATCTTGATGTCTATTCTCAACAAGATATAGATAGAATTGTTGGTGCTTCTAATTCAATTAAATTCTCTGGTTACTCTTGCCGATACTTTGGCTACCTCATGTCCAGAAAAAAATATATCATCTCAATTGATGATGACTGTGTTCCAGCCAAAGATGATAAGGGCTTGTTAGTAGAATTTGTAGCGCAGCACATATCGAACCTTTCAACTCCAGCCACTCCTTTCTTCTTCAACACACTGTATGATCCATTTAGGAAAGGAGCGGATTTCGTCCGTGGTTACCCATTTAGTTTAAGGAGTGGGGTTGCTTGTAGTCTGTCATGTGGACTGTGGCTGAATCTAGCAGATTATGATGCACCAACACAAGCCCTCAAGCCAAGTCTGAGGAACACGCGCTATGTCGATGCAGTCCTCACTATTCCAGCAGGAGCCATGTTGCCTGTGAGTGGAATCAACATTGCGTTTGATCGAGAGGTGGTTGGTCCTGCTTTATGTCCAGCTTTGAGATTGGCCGGGGAAGGAAAGTTTCGGTGGGAAACCATGGAAGATATATGGTGCGGATTATGCGTTAAGGTGACATGTGATCACCTGAAGCTTGGTGTGAAAAGTGGGCTGCCGTATGTTTGGAGAAATGAAAGAGGAAGTGCAGTAGAGAGCCTGAAGAAAGAGTGGGAAGGGGTGAAGCTAATGGAAGAAGTTGTTCCCTTCTTTCAAACTCTTAGGTTACCAGAAGCAGCAGTTACAGCTGAAGCCTGTTTCCTCGAGATAGCGAAGGCAGTGAAGGAGAAGCTCGGGCGGTCGAATCAAATGTTTGCTCGTGCTGCTGATGCCATGGTCGAATGGGTCGAGATTTGGAAGAACGCTGGATCGGGTCCTTTGCCTGTGGACAATTAGGAGGAGTTGATGAGTGAGTTTGGCCTCCTTCACTTCCCCCCCCCCCCCCCTTCCCTTCA